TGTATAGTAGAGCTGACAAGGGACAAGGTTGTAGTCACTTCTCAGTCACAGCCAGCTACACAGAGGGAGCCAGTAGTTGAACCTGTGGGCTCGGGACCATAGTCGCAGGGGACATCAAGCTCAACTGGCATAACATACCACACAAAACATTGTTCTACCTCCTACTTTGGCGAGTAGCAACTGGTATCTTAAAAGCTTGCAAGCAGCCATCTAGATGCAATGATGGGTTGTTCCTCGTCCAAAGCAAAGAAGAATGAAGACAACTAAAGATTCATAAAAACAATTAGTTCTAGTGACTGGTACACCATGTGATCTGCAGCCTATACGACTACGAGACCAGAAGAACTAGATGGTGCGCGGCTAGCACTGTCAACCACTCAGAGTGGGATGTCTGTAGGAGATCCTGGATAGACAGAGAGAACAATGTGGAACAAAACTCAGAATTATTTGGAAAAAAAAAAAAGGGAGGGAGAGACCAGGTTTGCTGGTCTGATAGAGCCTGGTAGAACCACCGAGACTATGGCCCCTAGCTGCTCTTCAGGTTTGGAATTGAATGCACATCTGTGGCTTCCAGCCAAACAAAAGACAGATATATGAGTTGAACATTTACCTGAGGTAGATACACTCCTTGGAGAGAACAATCATGGGAGAAAGAACAGCTGTTTTTATGCACAGGAAAACAGGTCATGGGGCAGGGGTGCACAGAGGGATGAAAAGAGGGAAGAAGTAACTATCGGGAGGAAGTGGGAGGAGAGTTGTTGCATTGGGGTAAATTGTACTCAATGTCATGGGACAAAGTGTATGTGAACTGCTGTATGGAAAGTAAATTTGCTCTTTAAATTTTTACCCAAATCACAACACACACACACATACGCCACTTACCTGATCAAGATTTGAAAGGCTGTTGGGATCCTGACTCAGACCCTGGTACTGACCCCTGAGTCTGTCACCAGCAGCTATTTTCCTGAACTTCTTTAGATCCACAACATATAGTGCACTGAATAGAAAAGACCCACTGGTTAAAACCATACATGTGGCAGAAAAATTAACCCCAGTTGATAAAGGAGCAGTTCACTGGCCTAATATCCCGGCTTTCTTTGAAAAGGTAGTCCTCACATTAAAAGTAAAGATCAATATGTGCTACTTCAAAAATATCCAGGGAAGTTATTCCCAAACACATACTTTGCCACCACTAACTCATTTTTATCACTGCTTCTTATTTAACTGTCTTCAAAAGTAAATAATTTGTGAAAAGGTAAGATTTCTATAGCAAATATGGGCAGATTAGGTAACAAATGCTATTTCTTACTGTTAGCCAAGGAGAGTTGGTGCTGTCTCATGGCAATTTTATGTATAACAGAACAAAACATTGCCTAGTCCTGTGCCATCTTCACAACTGCTACTATGTTTTCAATTACTATGTTGATAATTAACCTCTAGTTAAATATCCAGGGAGCTCTGCTAGCGTAGTGCCTAAGGCACTTACTTGACTCCAAACCAGAAGGCTGGCAGTTCAAACCCACCAGCCACTCCTTGGAAGAAGGTTGGGCAATCTACTTCCTTAGTGATTGGCCTCAGAAACCCTAGGAGGGGTCACTATGAGTCAGGTCTGACTCGCTGGCACATAACAACAACAACAACAACAGTTAGATATCCTGAGAGTGTAATAAATGTTACAAGGAAAAAGATAATCTACAGTTCTACAATACTTTTGGACAAAGAAAAGAAAGTATGATACTGAGATTACCATACCCCCAACTTTTACTTTGCTGCTTCCTACAGGTTACCCTAATCTCCACATCTTCCAATTTTCCCAAACACCATGGTGTAGTGTTTGTTGGAAAATCAAGAGCAATTACAAATGAATACAATGACCTAGCAGTTCCAATAATGTACACTATATATTTGAAATATGCAAAATAATGCATTAATATATTATTCATTGCAATACTATCATCAAAAAGAATACAATAATATTCATAAACTGAAATAATATGTAGCTATAAATAGTAAGGTCCATCTCTACATACTGGTAAGATCTATAAGGGGCATTAACAAAAGCAAGGTGTAAATAAAATGCTATATTTTGTGTAAAATGGGTATGTAAAAAATGTACAATCACAGTTGCTTATACTAACATAAAACACTACCCAGTCCTGTGCCAGCTTCACAATCCTTCTATATCTGAGCCCACCACTGCAGCTATTTTGTCAATCCACCTTTGTGAGGGCTTTCCCATTTTTCATTGACCCTCCACTTTACCAAGCATGACATCCTTCTCCAGAGAACGTTCTCTTCTGACAACATGACCAAAGTAGGTAAGATAAAGTCTGGTCATTCTCACTTCCAAAGGGCATTCAGGCTGCACTTCTTCCAGGAACGATTTGTTAGCTCTTTTAGCAGTCCATGGTACTTTCAGCGTTCTTTGCCAACACCACAACTCAAAAGCATTGACACTTCTTTGGTCTTCCTTTTTCATTGTCCAGTTCTCACATGCATATCAGGTGACTGAAAATACCATGGCTTGTGTCAGGTCTTAGTGTTCAAATAAACATCTTTGCTCTTCAGCACTTTAAAGAGGTCTTTTGTAGCAGATTCGCCCAATGCAATATGTCATCTAATGTCTTGACTGCTGCTTCCACTAGTGTTGATTGTAGAACCAAGTAACATGAAGAATTTGACAACTTCAATCTTTTCTCCATTTATCTTGATGTTACTTATTGGTCCAGTTGTGAGGTTTCTGTTTTCTTTATGAGATGTAATCCATACTGCAGACTGTAGTCTTCAAACTACATCAGTCAGTGCTTCAAGTCATCCTCACTTTCAGCAAGCAAAGTTGTGTCATCTGCGTATTGCAGGTTGTAAATGAATCTTCCTCCAATCCTGACGCCACACTCTTCTTCATATTAATATATTATTACATATTATTACTTCTCAGCTTCTCGGATTATTTATTCAGCATACAGATTGAGTAATTAAGGTGAAAAGAATACAATGCTGACACACTCCCTTCTTGATTTTAAACCACGTAGTATCCCCTTGTTCTGTCTGAATGACAGCCTCCTGGTCTATGTACAAGTTCTTCATGAATACAATTAAGTGTTCTGCTATTTCTACTCTTCTCAACATTACCCATAATTTGTTACAAGCCATGAAATCAAATGCTTTTGCATAGTCAATAAAACACAAGTAAACATCTTTTTGGTATTCTTGCTTTGAGCCAAGATCCACCTAACATCAGCAATGACATCCTTGTTCCTTGTCCTCTTCTGAATCCAGCTTTTATTTCTGAAGTTCTCAGTCAATACATTGCTGCATCTATTAATTGTCTTCAGTAAGATTTTACTTGCATGTGATATTAATGATATTGTTTGATAATTTCTACAGAAGCACACATACACATATATAATTTCCACATTCTGTGGGATCACCATTCTCTGGAATGGGTACAAATATGGATCTTTTCCAGTCAGATTGTCACATAACTGTCTTCCCAATTTCTTGACATAGACGAGTGAGTGGTTCCAGCGCAGCATCTGTTTACTGAAATACCTCAATCAGGATTCTGTTAATTCCTGGAGACTTGTGCTTCACCAATTCCTACATTGAAGCTTCAACTTCTCCCTTCAATACCATGAGTTCTTGATCATATGCTACCTCTTGAAATGGATGAACACTGACCATTCCTTTTGGTACGGTGACTATGTATTGCTCATATCTTTTTTTTTTTTTTAATTAAAAAAACTTTTATTATGATTTGGGTGAAGTTTACAGAGCAAATTCCATTTCCAGAAAGCACCGCACATATACTTTGTCTTACAACACTGACTACAATTTACCACAATGCAACCGCTCCTCTCCCACTTCCTCCTGATAGTTACCTCTTCCCTGTGTCCTTCCCTCCCATGCACTCCTGCCCGCCCGAGATGCATACATAGCCTCCTGTTCTCCCATGACTGATCTCTCCAAGGAGTGTATCTACCTGACGTAAATGTTCAACTCATATGCCTGTCTTTTATTTGGCTGGAAGCCACAGGAGTGGGTTCAATTCCAGACCTGAAGGGTAGCTATCAGGTTCTATCAGGTTCCATAAGACCAGCAAACCTAGCTCCCCCTCACCCCGTTTTAATGATTTTGAGTTTTGTTCCACATTGTTTCCCCACTCTGTGCAGGATCTCCTACATAGATCCACTCCAAGGGGTTGACAGTGGTCCAGGCACCATCCAGTTCTTCTGGTCTCAAAGTCATATAGGCTGCGGATAGTATGGTGTACCAGTTGCTTGGACTAATTATTTCCACGTGTCTTTAGTTTTATTCACTCTTTGCTCTGGACGAGGAGAGAACCATTGTTGCACGTAGATGATTGCTTGCAAGCTTTTAAGATCCCAGTCACTACTCACCAAAAGTAGGATGTGGAACAATATTTTTGTGTAGTATGTAATAGGGGACATGCTTGATGTCCCCTGCAACTATGGTCCCAACCCCACAGGTTCAACTACTTGCTTCCTCTGGGTGGCTGGCTGTGACCAAGAAGCGACTACAACCCTGTCCCTTGTCGGCTCTACTATATATTTTAGCCTGTCCCCCCATCTATTCATCCATTTGTCAATGTTTGCCTTCGCTGACAACGCAGTACTGTATCTGCAAAAGGGTTCATATTTCTTGTCTATAACTCCCACATACCTCTCTATGTTGTCCTCTTCCTCAATGTTGATCACTCACATTTGGTACATTGCCCTTCTTTCCACCCAAACCAATACTTGTCTCTACCTATTTAACAGTGTTCCCTCACCTCTCCTCCCACCCCTAGTAACCAACAAAGAAAGTTTCCTTCCATATATAAACCATTTACAGTAGTAGACTAATAACATATTTGTCCTTCTGTGATTGACTTATTTCCCTCAGCATAATGTCCTCCAAGTTCATCCACATCATGTTGTATTTTGGAGATTCTATTCTTTAGGGTTGCATAGTATTCCATTGCGTGTATGTACCATAGTTTGGTTATCCATTCTTCTGTTGATGGACACCTAGGTTGTTTTCATATTTTTGCTACTGTAAATAGTGCTGCAATGAACATGGGTGTGCATATGTCTGTTCTTGTCATGGCTTTCACTTCTTTAGGATATATACCTAGTAATGGAATGGCTGGGTCTAATGGTACTTGTAATGCCAACTATTTAAGGAATTGTGATACTGCCTTCCACAGTGGTTGTATCATTTGACAGTCCCACCAACACTGTAGGAAAGCCCAATCTCTCTGCACCCTCACCAGCATTTATTATTTTCTGTCTTGTTGAACTCTGCTGCTAGATGGTATCTCACTGTTGTTTTGATTTTCATCTCTCTAATGGCTAATGATCATGAACATTTCTTCATATGTTTGTTGGCCACCTGAATATCCTCTTTGGTGAAGTGTCTATTCATGTCTTCCGCTCATTTTTGAATTGGATTATTTGTGTTTTTTTGTTGAGGTGTTGGAGTTTCCTATAAATTCTAGAGATAAGTCCCTTGTCAGATATGTCATTGCCAAATATTTTCTCCCAATCTGTAGGTTCTCTTTTGACTCTTTTGGAGAAGTCTTTGGAAGCACATAATAATTTACTTTATAGAAAGTCCTATTCATCTTGTTTCTTTTCTGCTGTTTGTGCATTTTGAGTTATGCTTGATAGTCTATTTATGCCATCCATTAGGACCCCTAAATTTGCCCCTAGTTTTTCCTTGAGGAACTTGATAGTTTTAGGTTTCACATTTAAGCCTTTGATCCATCTGGAGTTATTGTTTTGTGTATGGTATGAGGTACAGCTCTTGTTTCATTTTTCTGCAAAAGGGTATCCAGTTTTGCCAGCACTTTTTGTTAAACAGACATTTTCTTCCCCATTTAATGGATTTCAGCCCTTTGACAAAGATAAGCTGGCCACAGGTTGATGGATCTATTACAAGGTTTTCAATTCTATTCCACTGGTCTATGTGTCTGTTGTCGTACCAATACCAGGCACTTTTGACTACTGCAGCTGTAGAGCAGGTTTTAAGATTTGGCAGCATGAGACCTCCTACTTTGTTCTTCTTTTTCAATAATGCTTTGTTTATCCGAGGTCTATTTTCTTTCCATATAAAGTTAGTGATTGTTTTTTCCGTATCCCTAAAGAATGATGATGGGATCTGCATTGGTATTGAATTGAATGTATAGACTGATTTGGGTACAATTGACATTTTCATAATGTTCAATCTTACCCACGACCAAGGTATGTCTTATGGTTTCCTGAAGTAGTCTTTTATAGTTTTCTTTGTGCAGGTCTTTTGTGTCCCTGGTAAGATTTATTGGCAAGTATCTTATCTTTCTGGTAACTACCGTAAATGGTACTGATTTATTTCTTTTTCAGCAATCTTTTTGCTGGTGTAAAGGAATCCAACTGATTTTTGGATGTTGATCTTGTATACTGCCACGATGCTAAATCTCTCACTAGTTCCAGTAGATATTTTACTGAGTCTCTTGGGTTTTCTAGGTATAGGATTGTATCATCAGTGAATAGAGATAGTTTTACTTTCTCCTTACCAATCTGGATGCCTTTGATTTCCCATTCTTGCCTTATTGCCCTGGTTAAGACTTCCAATACAATGTTGAATAGAAGAGGTGATAGAGGGCATCCTTGTCTGGTTCCTGTTCGCAGGAGGAATGATTTCAGTCCTCTTCACTGAGAATGATGTTGGCTGTTGTTTTTGCATATATGTCCTTTATTATGTTGAGGAATGTCCCTTCTATTCCTATTTTGCTGAGAGTTTTGATCAGGAATGGGTGTTGGTTGGATTTTATCAAATGCCTTTTCTGCATCAATTGATATGATCATATGGTTCATGTGGTTCTTCTCCTTTGTTTTATTTATCCTCACATCCTCTTTTGATGTTTCCTGCATCATTCAGTATTTTGCCCATAAAAATCCTTCTATATTGCAACTTGAGGCTTGATTTTTTTTCTCCAGTTCTTTTAGTTTGAGAAATGCCAAGTGTGTTCTTCCCATTAGGTTTTCTACCTCCAAGTCTTTGCACATTTCATTATAATAACTGACTTCTGTCTTCTCAAGCTGGTCTTTAAAATCTTTTGTTCATCTCTCTTAGCCTGTCATTTCTTCCATTTGCTTTAGCTACTCTCTGTTCAAGGGCAAATTTCAGAGTTTCTTCTGACATCAATTTTGGTCTTTACTTCCTTTCATGTGTTTTTAGTGATCTTTTGCTTTCTTCATGGATGATGTTCTTGAGGTCATCCCACAATTCATCTGGTTTCAGTCATTGGTGTTCAATGCACCAAATCTATTCTTTAGATGGTCTCTAAATTCAGGAAGGATGTTATCAAGGTCATATTTTGGCTCTTGTGGGCTTGTTTTAATTGTCTTCAGCTTTAACATGAACTTGTAGATGAGCAATTGATGGTCTGTTCCACTAAGCTACTGGACTTGGTTTGGTTGAAGATAGTGAGCTTCTCCATTGCCTGTTTCCATAAATGCCATCAATCTGATTCCTGCGTACTGCATGTGGTGAACTCCACGTGTATAGCCACCATTTATGTTGTTGAAAACAGGTATTTGCAATGAAAAAGTTACTGGTCTTACAAGATTCTATCATGTGATCTACAGCATCATTTCTATCACCAAGGCCATATTTTCCAACTACTAGTGATTCTTGTTTGTTTCCAACTTTTGCATTCAAATCATCAGTAATAATCAACACATCTTGATTGCATGTATGGTCAATTTCAGACTATGGAAGTTGGTAAAAATCTTTAATTTCCTCGTCTTTGGCTTTGGTGGTTGGTGTGTAAATTTGAACAGTAGTAGTATTAATTGGTCTTCCTTGGAGACATATGGATATTATCCTATCATTGACAGTACTGTACTTCAGGACAGATCTTGAAACATTTTTTGTGACAATGAATGCCCTGCCATTTCTCTTCAATTCAATGCCATTTTTGTCATTCTCAGCATAGTGGTCATGTGGTTGTCCGATTCAAAATGGCCAAAACCAGTCCATTTCAGCTCACTAATGCCAAGGATATTGATCTTAATACATTCCATTTCATTTCTGAAAACTTCCAATTTTCCTAGATTCATACTTTGTATATTCCACGTTCAGATTATTAATGGATGACTGCAGTTGTTTCTTCTCATTTTGAGTTCATGCTACATTAGCAAATGGAGGTCCCAAAAGCTCTGCTCCATCCATGTCAATAAGGTCGACTCTGCTTTGAGGAGGCAGCTGTTCCCATCATATTTTGAGTGCCTTCCTACCTGAGGGACTCATCTTCCAGCACTCTATTAGACAATGTTTCAGGGCTATGCATAAAGTTTTCCAAAAATGTATCAGACAGTGTTTCACTGTTATTCATAAGGTTTTCACTGGTCAATTCTTTGAGAAATGCATTGCCTCTTCCTTCTTCCAAGTATGTCTTAATCTGGAAGGTCCACTGAAACCTATCTACCATGGGTAACCCTGCTGGTATTTGAAATACTGGTTGTATAGCCCCCAGCCTCACAACACCCAAGCCACCATGGTACAACATAGTGACAGATGAGTAGTGGCTATATGTATGTGTGTGTGTGTGTATATATACATATAATTTTTATTTTTGAATCATATTAAGTTATTATCTATTCACAATTTTAAATTAAAAAAAAAAAAAGTTAATTTTAAGAAGAAGAAAACCATGTAGTACCATTAGGAATAGTGGTGAGAAGGCATTCATAAGCTTGGTGGCTCTGTTTTCCTTATTCCTACCCTTGTTAGCTACATCTTTGGGCATCAGGAATAAACCTTTGCAACCCCTCCCTCTGAAGCCTATTGGTATGTCTAAATGTCAGCAGGGTAAAAAAGATAGAATTCTGGGCTAGGTGCCAAAATGTCTGACTGCCTTTTACTTGGATGGTCAGGAGGGTATGTCATGGGTCACACAGGCTATGGGCTATAAAAATGACTGAATGAGGCATTTGCTTGCCCCTCAGCTATGATGCTAGATGGAAGCCTGTGTAGCAGAAATTTGTAGTCCACCTAAATAAGCCAACCCAGCTAGGGGGAACTTGTATAAGAAAGGGTTTTTGAGTACCTTGCTATAGTATATAGTAGGATACACACAGAAGTTTTCCAATTCTGCCCAGAGCTGCGGGACCTGTTATATGCTGTCTGCTTTTTGTTCTAAGTAATAAAAGCTACATTCCATGTGCTAATGCTCTGGGAGTGTCTGGTTTCTTCATGTCGTGATCAGAAGGATGTGATACTGATGGTGTAATTATTATTAGCAATCAGTCCCCCATTTCATTGGCCTTTTGGCTATTAAAAATGTGGGAAAACCTGTGAGTGTCTTCCAGTATTCCTTGTTTAGTACCTGATATGATACTTTCGCCCAGCTAAATGGCTGGCCCAGTACCCTGACTTCCAGAACCTGTAGCCATCCATTTCTCTTCGGCTATCGCAGAAAGGAGTATAACCATAAGGCGCACCGTCCAAATTGAAATCTCTTAACTCTTTCAGATCTGTTCGTACAATCTGGAGAAAACAAAACCAAAAGTCATTTTGTAAACAAACATGCAGATAGCTCTAACACAGTTTCCTTAAAATATAAAACATTGTAAGGTACATAGAGAGCAGCACTGTGGTTAATAGCACAAGCCCTAACATAGATCTAGTTTGAGCCTGGATTCCCCTACTTATTAGCTGGTTGTTCTAACATGTAAGACAGTTAACCTAGTGGCTGGCATACAACATTCTCATTATTTAAAAATAGTAGAAATAAAACAAATTTAAATTCCTTAGCCTCTCTGTACCTAAGTTTCTTTATCTATGAGATAGGGATACTTACACCTCAGAGCGTTGTTGAAAAAATTTATGAAACAATGCCTGGCACACAGCATGTGCTCAGCAAGGATTAAATTTGATTATATTAGACTTAAAACCACACACAAACGTAACTCAAAATGGATCAAGGACCTAAATGTTAAATAAAAATCATAAAGTTCTTAGAAGAAAATATAGCAGAAAATCTTTTCAACTTAATTTTTTCAATGACAGATTATCAAACATATGTATGAACAACAGAACACAAAATAGACAACTAAGCCTTTATAGAAGTTAAACACATATTAAAAGAGTAAAAAAACAACCTATAGACTGGGAAAAATTCTTTGGAAATGATATAACTGAAAAGGTTACAATACTGAAAATTCACAGAGAATTTCTATAACTTAACAACAAAAAGACAAATAACCCAATCAAAAACTAGGAAAAATGGCCAACAAACATATGAATAGATTTTCACAATCATTAGCCATTAGAGAAATGTAAATAAAAACTACAATGAGATTACCATCTCACCCTGGCTAAAATGGCACTGATTAAAAAAAAAAAACAAAAAAAAAAAACAGGTAACAAGAAATGTTGAGGAGTATGTGGGGCAAATGGAACTCTTATCATATGCAATTGGGACTATAAAACAGTATAACCACTATTGAAAAGATTTTGGTGCTTACACAAAAAACTAGAAATAGAAATACCTTATAGTCTAGGAATCTCACTCCTAGGTGTATACCCAAGAAATCTAATAAAAGTGACAAGGAGAGACATATGAACACCTACATTCATTGCAGGATTATTCACAATAGCCACACACACACACAAAAAAAAAAAAAAAAAGAAAGAACCTAAATGCCCAAAAATGTATGAATGGGTAAGTAAAATGTGTACACATATAATGGCACACACTATACAATCTTAAAGAACAATGATGAGTTTGCTAAATATAGCATGGATGGACCTGGAGGACATAATGCTAAGTGAAATGAGCTGAACACATAAGAGGAAATAGTGTATGATCCTACTTTTGTAAGACAAGAACAGATACATACAGAGAGGCCAATGCTCCTTGGTGTTACCAGGGACTGAGGGGAGTGGGGTAGATACTTGTTATTTTCGGTGATGGGAAAAGTAGCACTAAATGTGGGTGTAATGAGCACAGCTTAACCAAATAAATGATGCCACCAAAAAGCCATGAGAAAAAAAATTAAAAAAAAAAAAAAAAAAAAAAATGCACTACAGAATACGACATATATTTTGGCAACACCACCAACAATAATAAAAAAATGAGTTTATAATCACATATGTATGATGTATAGGCATACACACGTAGGGATAGATACAATTGTGTACATATGTGTGCACAGATAGTATATGTATGTGTACATAGAGATAAGTATATGCATGTATGTATATTCATAAAGGACATAGTTACAGAAAATTCTCAGATATAACCCAACAACTTATGAGATTGGATTTCTAAGTTTGAAGGTTTAGGACCCTTAGTCTCATGGGAAAACTCAGTCAATTGACATAATATAGTTCACAAAATTCAGATTCTGCAACCTAGTGAGGTAAGTAGAGTCTGGGATCTTAAAAGCCTACAAGCAGCCATTTAAGATACAATTACTGGTCCTACATGTCACGAGCAACAGAGAAAGAAGAAAATCAAAAGAAACTACTCTGTAGACCTAAAAGGCTACACAAGCCATGGGCTCATCTACACTGAGAGAGAAGAACTAGATGGTGTCTGGCTATTGATCACAATAGATAGATTCTGATAGAATAGGAGAAAAACATGAAGCAGAACTCAAATTCTTAAACAGTCCCTAATTAGTGGACCAGTTGAGACTACAGGATTCCTTCAGACTGTTTGTTGCCTTGAGATATTCTTTAAACGCTAAAGTGAAATTATTCCCTAAGGAATTATTCAGTGGAATAACAGACTGGCACACAAAATAAATGATATTACCTATGAGTACAGTGCTCCATGGAAAACCCAGTTAAGCAAATCTAAAAATCTCTAACTTCACAAGGGGGAAGGAAAAATCATTATCAGCATCAACAGCCAAAGGCTCAATGCTATGAGGTGGAGGTCAGACATCTCTACCCTAAAACTTTTTAATCAATTCTGACACCAGCCATCCCACCCAAGACACTCTCTACATCTCTGCTGGGTTCAATAATTTAATTCAATAATTTGTTGCAACAGCAACACAGAACTCACAGACAATACTCACCCAGGACTGCCTGTACATGATTACATTAGAACTGTGAAAAACCTTTTTCAGGTTGATCTAGCTGTGATGTAAGTGAACCAGATGAGGAAGAACTACCTAAGAGGTAAACACAGCCTTTGCCCAAATGACATCTGTACATATTACATCACTTCCACTTAAATGATTAACTCACGTTTTGTTGAGCTCAGGTAAGGGAGAAACAGTATATTTATGTTTTTCAAGTCTCAATGCTCTAAAATCTAAATATCACCTGTAAGTATTGCACTCCTTTAAAAAAAGGAGCTATATGAGAACTATTAATAACTGCTTTACAACAAAGATGAGAATATAATAGGCAGTGAAACCAGATGAATGGAAATGGAAGACCAGAATGGAAATGATGAGAAAGTTATGGATTGTGATGAACACAAGCAATGCTAATGAACAAAATGCTTCCTTTAATTAAGTCAAATTCTAATGGTAGGAAGAACATTTGCAGAGTTCTACACTGCTCCAGCCAAACATCCATAGGAGCTTTAGCTCTATTACCCATTTCAACAAATCCTACCTTCAGGTCAAAAAACTAGAGATGATGGTGAGTACAGTCCAACCTTTACGATAAAAAGGTTACTTTTCATGTTAAATGAAAAAAGAAAAAACATGATATGATCACAAGTATACAAAAGAGGCAGAGAAAAATAATGTAGGGAGATATATTAAACACAAATTTCAAAGTGATCATATCTGGGTGACATCTATCCATATTTTCTAAATAGTGTGAAGTAAGCACGTGTTACTTCTGTACCTGGAAAATTAAAATGAACTTCATTTAAAAAAGAAGAAAAACCCCTACTTCTTTTGAAATACAAGTATTTCTTTTGTAAGAACAACCTGTATTACAACCTGGCCTTTGAGAGCTTACCTGGTCAGCATCCACAAAAAGGAATTTGTCAACAATGAGAGGGAAGAGGACATCCAGGAAGAGGATCTTGTAACCCCAGATGATGCGCTGCTTCTCAGTCTGCTGATAGAGCCACCGGGGCCACTTGTACTGAACAAGCTCATACTGGAAATTGTATTCATTTGCCATGTAAGGTATAAACTCCTATTTGTAGATATAGGAAACAATAAACAATCCATTTATTCTTTTAAGAAAATTGACTTTATCATGTAAGTCAAATACCACAATTAGGGCACAAGTAAAACACATTCACCAAAATAATTTATTTGTTCCTGACTAACTAGTGACTACATAAAAGAATATATCTGTACTTCTGTCTTAATCCCAATCCCTTTATGACTATCAATACAAGAAATGACAAAAATCCTTAAGTGATGGCTTTTAGATACTAAATTACATTTGTATATGTATGGGCTCAAGTATAGCAGGAATCACGGAGTTGGCGCAGGATCAGGCAGTGTTTTGTTCTGCTGTGCATGGGGTCTCTATGAGTCAGAAACGACTCGACAGCACCTAACAACAACAACAAAATGTGTTTAAAGGGAAATGAATTTCAAGCCATTTGTTTAAGATGGATTTTGTTTTTTAATTTGATTACAAGTCTCCCTCAAGGCTGTCTATCACAGAAAATAATATGGCAAAACTCAAGTACCGAAAATCTCTGGTTATAATCATTGATTTACCCATGGTTACAAAGCCACTCCTTGGAAAGAAGGTTGGGCAATCTACTTCCATACTGATACCGCCTCGGAAACCCAAGGAGGGGTTGCTATGAGTCAGGTCTGACTCGACGGCACATAACAACAACAAACCAACCTCTGTAAAGCCTATTATATTAAAATTGGAGGTACACAGATGGTTCATAATAACAAATGGGTGCTACTTTACAATTTTCATCAATCAAAACATTATTATTACTGTATTACATTAAAGGCATCTTAGTGTTTCTAGAACTATTTATTTGCTGTTTATTATACATAGAAAGGTACACTGTATATGATATACTAAGACAAACATTTGACTAACGTACAAATTTGACTTAAAGACAGACTTATGAAAGGAACTCCTTTGTAATCCAGGGATTCCCTGTACTCTCGACAATTACTCTGTGATCATTAAAGAATAAATCCTTCAGATTCTAAATGTGAGTATAGTCAGCCCACTGTATCCACAGGTTCTGCTGCAAATTTAATCAACAAGAATTGAAAATATTTGAACAAAATAAAAAGAAATTAAGTGGTCAAAGGAATCCGTCAAAACTAAGATGGAGAATAAAGTGCTATTTAAATAGCATTTACATTGTATGGGCATTCTAAGTAATCTAAAAAAACAAAAAACAAAAAAGCCAAACTCACTGTCGTCAAGTCAGATCCGACTCATAACAACCTCTCCTTGGGTTTTTGAAGAGGTATCACTACAGAAGTAGATTGCCCACTCTTCCTTCTGAGGAGTGGCTGGTGGGTTTGAATTGCCAGCCTTCTGGTTAGCAGTCAAATGGCTTAAGCAGGAGCATATATGTATGCTATAGGAAAATACTACACTATCTTATATGAGGGACTTCAGCATCTGAGGATTCTGGTATTTGTAGGAGATCCTGGAACCAATCTCCCATGGAAACCACAGGATGATTGTGCCTCAGGGGCAGAAGTGAATTAATGAGCTAGTAGAAAAAAAAATGAATATATTAAAAGTGTTTAATAACTTCTATAGCAATAAAGGAAAAAAGAGGAAGAGCTAAGATGGAGTCCTAATCAGACACATCATGTCATTCCTTTAAAACAAAGACCTGAGAAACCAAGTGAAACAAATACAGATGATAATGCTGCAACCCTGAGCATCAAATGTAAAGACAAAGAATTAGATCAAGTATCAATTAACACAAACCGAACAAAAGCAGCAAACAAGGAGAGATATGGAGCTACAGTGTGTTGCCAGTCAGCCTGGCACAGTATTTCCATTTTGAGACTATGGAAGTAGCATTCCCAAGTAAGGAACATAGGAAGGCAACTTCTCAAAATCCTCAATAAAACAAAGACACAAAGTAGACAAATTTGGAGGGAAGCAATGTGACCATATCATGAACTAGACTTTAGGAAGGAATGTTCAAGCAAGAGGGCAAGAACTCCAGAGCAACCAAAGAGCAGGAAGGAAGCCAGTAAATAAGGGCAGTTGGGGATCCACAGAGAGGGGTAGGTCTGTGGCAGCTGAAGATGGGAAGGAAGAAGATAGCTGAATGTACTCACCTAGGAGTATACTGTCATCCACACTAGTAACTAGCAACCAGAAGAATGTACTCTCACCCTTTTCCCCAACACTCTCTTGGTGATCAGAGATGGGACCACTCCACCATCACCCACCTGCTGGCTACTGACATGCCCTTCGCACGCTTCCTCTTCCCACCTCCTCACCTCACAGATGTCCACCTCTCCACCACATTGCTCCATTTCTCTAGCAGCCAGCAGTGTGTAATCCTGCAGCTTGTACTCTTAACATTGTTGTTTTCATGGCTGGCACATTCTTTCATGTACTGTGAGCGCACCACCAAAATACTTTCCAAGTGTCTGGGGCATGCACTTCCATACATGATGCACCCTGTGTCTGCCATGTACATGGTTGGTAGCATGTGTTCTTGTAGATTACATCTCACATGCTCACCACCTCCACGGTTGGTGGTGTGAACACATGGTTGATACCGCGAGACTAGGGATCCACATTCCTGTAAATTGGGTACCATGTGCCCAGTGTTTCCATGGTTGGTGGTGCACATTCATGCCTGGTGTTATCACTCACCCCTGACTCAGCCAAGTGGTGGTGAGATATCTAAGCAAGGTGCTCCACTGCTCTCATCAGCCGATTTAGATAAGCTCCCGCAGCTCACCCCAAGGCAGCGTAGAGTGCTCTCCCTGCCACTCCTACTCACTGACCAGCTGAGTTCCCTGCCACTTCCCCTTACCCAGTGATAGGCAGAGGCAGTGTGACCGTGCACATGCCTATTTGTCAATCCCCTCCCCAGTGAGAGGCAGAGGAGGTACAACCATCCATGTTCCAGCCTACTGCTTGCCCTCCTTCCACTCCAACGAACGAGGGGCAGTGACGGTGCAAACTATGCACACCTGCCTGCCACTTCCTCCCTCCCTCTTGACCTGCCCACCATCTATCCCACCCCCTTTTCTCCAGTTTGACAAGTGGCACAAGTGTGCCTGCCATTCATATTCTCCACACTGTGTGGAAGATGGTGGCAAAATGGCTATGTGTAGCCATTCGCCATTCACCACACTCATCCAGTAAAACACCAGAAAAACCAAACTCACTGCCATCAAGTTGCATCTGACTCATAGTGACCCCTCCTTGGGTTTCCAAGGCAGTATCACTACAGAAGTAGATTGTCCAACCTTACTTCCAAAGAGTGGCTGGAAGGTTTGAACCACCGGCCTTCTGGTTAGCAGTCGAATGCCTTAGGCACTATGCATGTCCCCACTAGCTAGCTAGCCACACCCACAACATCTGCCACCCTACCCACTTTGCGAGTGCCACCACCTGCTTCTATACCACTGAATTGGCAAAAAACAACAACTAACATCTGCCAGCCCACCTTCAGCTGCTCCACATGACCAGCAAACAGATCTGCATCCATAATTCCACCTGTTACCCCACCTGCCCAGAAACAAGCAGTGAGCAGTGCAATGCTGCCAAACTGGTGATGAGAGTAGCATATTGGCCATTGTATCAAAATGAAACAAAACAAAATTCAGGGCAAAGCAAACCAACAATCAACATATAAATACAATAACACAACAATGTCTTCAATACAACAAATGGAAAAAGATAGCTAAAGCAAATGACCGATATACAGGGCCAGAAAACCTTCCTGAGGAAGAAATGGAAATGGAACAACCTGATAAAAAATTTAAAAGAACTGTATTTAAGGATCTTTCAACAGAGTAACAAAAAGATCAAGGAAGGGACAGACAAAACTCTAGAAGAATTCAGGAAAACAATACACGAATAGATTGACAAAATTAGAAACTATAAAACAACAGCAACTAGAAATCCAAAAGAATAATACTAAAATTTCAGATCTGAATCAACAAAAGACAGAATCAATGAAACAGAGGGCAAATTCTTTGATATCAATCACTTAGAGGAAAAGTCAGAAAAAAGAATGAATAAAAAAAACGAAGAAAGCCTAAGAGTCATTTTGGACACCATCAACAGGAGTAACTTACATGTGATAGGAATTTCAGAACAGGAAGAGGGAAAAGCACAGGAGAACTGTTAAAGATTTGCTGGCAGAAAACACCACTAATATGAAAGAATAGAAGATATCCATCCAAGAAACTCACAAACTCCAAATAGGATAGACCTCAAAAGAAAGTCACCAAGATATGCCATCATCAAATTTTCTAAAACCAAAGACATAGAAAGAATCCTGGGAGTAGCTCAGGAACACCAAAATGTTACCTACAAAGGGGAACCAATAAGATTAAATCGTGATTTCTCAGAAAAAACCTTGCAGTAAGAGGGCAATAGGATGACATAAAAAACCCAGAACTGAAAACACTGGTAACCAAGAAATATATTCCCAGCAAAATGGTCCCTCAAGTATGATGGAGAAATCAAGACATTTCCAGATAAACATAAATTAAGGGGACATGTGAAAACTACACTAAATTTATAAGAGATGCTAAAGGAAGTCTTCTAGACAGAGAACCAACAATGGTAGACAACAACTGGTGATTAACACACTTAACAACATCACCCTGAAATGAACACAGAGAATGGTGGTTCAAGCCCACCAGCCACTCTTCAGAAGGAAGGTTGGGCAATCTACTTCTGTAGTAATACTACCTTGGAAACCCAAGGAGGGGTCGCAATGAGCTGGTTCAACTTGACAGCAGCGAGTTTAGTTTTTTTTAATGAATTTTTAGAAATAAACTTACAAGATTGAAAATAGGGAAACAAAGATACCAATCTACAAACAATGACAACTACAAAGGAAACAGAGTAGATACACGGTAGTTACAGAACTTTAAAAAGGACAGGAAGTCAATACAATATCAATATAGAACAGACTTTAAACTTAAGAAGATTTTAAACATTTGTTGTTGTTGTTGTTATGTACCATTGAGTCGGACCCGACTCATAGCGACCCCTCCTTGGGTTGCCAAGGCAGCATCACTACAGAAGTAGATTACCCAACCTTCCTTCAAGGTGTGGCTGGGGAGTTTGAACCGCCAGCCTTCTGATTAGCAGTCAAATGCCTTAGGCACTATGCTACCAGAGCTGAAGATAAAAATAAATATCAGGGTAACCATAAAGAAAATTTGAAAATGTTCTCACCAAAATTGAAAGGAAGAAAATCATAAACATTCAATAAAAACAAAATCAAAACCAAGAAGGAAATCCATAAACAAAATGAACTCAACACAGCAAAGTATATAAAACAGAAATCATCAGCACTACCAAACAAAACAAAACAAAATAACAGCATTAAATTCATACCTATCAATAACTACACTGAACATGAATGGATGAAATGCATCACTCCAGAAGCAGAGTGGCAGATGGATAAAAAAACACATTATCCATCAATATAATGGATACAAAAGACACACCTCAGACACAAAGATAAAAATGAGCTAAAAGTCAAAGTTTGGAAAAATATATATCAGGTAAGTGGCAATTGAAAAAGAGCAGGAATGGCAGTATTAATTCTGATAAAATAGACTTTAAGGCCAAAACAAGCATAAGAAACAAGGAAAGACATTATATAATGACTAAAGGGTCAATCCAAGAACAGAAAATCACCATAATAAATACCTATGCACCCAATGAAAGGGCCCCAAGATACAGAAATCAAACTTAAGGAGAATTGAGAAAAGAAATAGACAACTCCACAACAAAATTTGGAGACTTTAGTACAGCACTTTTGATGAAGGACAGAACAATGAGAAAGAAACTTAACAAAGATACAAAAGAAAGATCTAAACAATACAATCAACCAACCTGACCTCATAGATGTTTATAGAACACTGTGCATAACAACAGCATGTTGCTGTTGCTGTTGCTGTTGTTATGTGCCGTCACATTGGACCTGACTCATAGTGACCCCTCCTTGGGTTTCCGAGGCAGTATCACTATGGATGTAGACTGCCTCACCTTCCTTCCGAGGAGTGGCTGGTGGGTTTGAACCACCAGCCTTCTGATTAGCAGTTAAGTGCCTTAGGCACTATGCTACCAGAGCACACATTATTTTCCAGTGCACATGGATTATTCTTTAGAATACATAATACGTTATGCCATAAAATAAGCGTCAACAATTCAAAAACACTGAAATAGTACAAAGCAAATTCCTGGATAACAACATTATAAAACTGAAAATCAGCAACAGCAAGAGCAAGAGAAAAAAATTCAAATACACCTTGCTTAAAAACTACTGGGAAATAGAATAAAGAAAATTTCTAGAATCAAACAAGAATGAAAGGACAACATAGCAAACTTTTTGGGACACAGTAGTGCTCAGAAGTCAATTTACAGCAATAAATGCACATATAAAAAAGAAGAACCCAAAACAATACCTTAATCCAACATTTCCAACAACTAGAAAAAAGCAGCAAAAGTAGCCTAGAGTTACTGAAGAAAGGAAATCGTAAAGACTGGAGCAGAAATTAAAAAATGGGAAAACAATAGGAAGAATTAACAAGACTAGAAGTCAATTCTTCGAAAGCATTAATAAAATCAACAAACCACTGGCCAATTTAAAAAAGGAAAAGGAGAAGATGCACGTAACATGAATAAGAAATGAAATAGCGATGTTACAGGAGAACCAAATGAAATAAAAAGGATAACAAGACTACTATGAAGAACTGTACTTTGAAAACCTAGAAGAAATGGAACAATTTCTAGAAACACACTACCTACCCAAAGTAACACAGACTAAGGCAGAACATTTGAATAGGCGCATGACAAAAGAAGAACTAAAGAAAAAAGTCCTGCCCTGGACAGATTCACTGGCAAATTCTACTGATCACTGAGAAAAAAGCTGACACCAATTCTATTAAAACTATTCCAGAACATAGAAAAGAATAGATTACTCCCAAATTCATTCTGGGAGCTCTGGTAGCATAGTGCCTAAGGCACCTGACTGCTAACCAGAAGGCTAGCGATTCAAACCCCCCAGGCACTCCTCAGAAAGAAGGTTGGGCAATCTGCTTCTGTAGTGATACCGCCTCAGAAACCCAAGGAGGGATTGCTATGAGTCGCGTCCGACTCCACGGCACACAACAACAACAACAAATTCATCCTATGAAGCAAGCATAACCCTGATACCAAATCCAGGCAAAGACCCTACTAAAAAAGAAAATTGTAGACAATGTTCCTAATGAGCATACAATGCAAAAATTACCAACAAAATTTCATAGAATCCAACATGCTATTTAAAAAAAAAAAAAGGAAAAAAAAAATCATGGTTCAAACAATAATGAAAGCACCCAACTGGAAAAAAAAAAAATCACTGTCATCAAGTCAGATCCAATCATAGCCACCCCTCCTTAGGTTTCTGAGGCAGTATCTCTATGGAAGTAGATTGCCCAGTCTTCCTTCTGAGGAGTGGCTGGTAGGTTTGAACTGCCACCCTTCTGGTTAGCAGTCAAATGCCTTAGGTACTATGCCACTAGAGCTCAAAATGTTTGAGACACAGCAGTGCAAGGTCAATTTTTAGCAATAAATGCACACACATTAAAACAAAACAAAAAAATCCCATTGTCACTGAGTTGATTCTGACTCATAGTGACCCTACAGAGCAGAGTAGAACTGCTCTCTAGGATTTCCAAGGCTATAAATATTTATGGAAGCAGACTGCTTCATCTTTCTTCTGCAGAGCTGCTCGTGTTGTTCAAACAACTGACCTTTTCATTAGCAACCAAATGCTTTGATAACCACTATGTCATGAGAATGTTACACATAAAAAATCAAAATCAACATCTTAACCCAACATCTCCAACAATCAGAAAAAGAGTAGCAACAGCAGCCTAGAGTAGGATTCATACCAGGTATACAAAAATGGTTCAACATTAGAAAATCAATGTACTCCACCACATAAATAAAACAAAGGAAAAAACAATATATCATCACATCATTCAATGCACAAAAGGTATTTCATACAATCCAATGCAAGTCCTAGCTGGAGCAAGAAGACACAAGAAAAATAAAAAGCAACCAAATTGGTAAAGAAGTAAAACTATCCCTATTTGCAGATGATATGATCCTACACATAGAAAGTCCCAGAGATTCTACAAAAAAAAGGCAGCAAGAACTAATAAAAGGATTCAGTCAAATGACAGAGTACAGGATCAATGTGCCAAAAATCAGACTTTCATCTAAATAATAATAATAATTATTATTATTTCAATGAGAACTCTGAAAAGGAAGTCAGGAGAACTATTTTTTATAATAGCGTCCAAGAAGATAAAATATTTAGGAATAAACCTAACCAGGGATTAAAAAAAAAAGATTTATACAAACAAAACTACAAAACACTACTGTAAGAAACCAAAAGAGACCTATATACATGCAAGAAAATATCATAGTCAAAGACAGAAGGACTTAACACTGCGAAAGGAATCTATAGATGCAATGTACTCCTGATCCAGATTTCTTCAACAGTCTTTAGAGATGGAAAAACTAACTGCCATCTTTATATGGAAAGCAAAGAGACCCTAAATAAGCAACCCACAAAAACCAAATTCACTACCATCAAGTTGAATTCGACTCATAGCAACCCCCACTGGGTTTCCAAGGCTATAAATCTTTATGGAAGAAGACTGTCTCATCTTTCTTCTGCAGAGCAGCTGATGGGCTCAAATTACCAATCTTCTGATCAGCAGCCAAATGCCTTAACCATTATACCACCAGAGCTCCTTCTAAATAACAACAAAGTAGAGGCCTCACACTTCCAGAACTCAAAACCTACTCTACAGCTATGGTAGTTAAAATAGCCTGGTACTGCTGCAACAACAGAAACATAGTCATATGGAACAGAACTGAGAACCCAGAAGTAAATCTATCCACCTATGGACAGGGGATCTTAGAAAAATGGCAGAAATCTATTAAAGACAGCCTTTATAAGAAATAGTGCTGGTGATAGAAACACTGTAGAAAGCAGTACGGCAATTCCTTAAAAAGTTGGAATTAGAAATATCACTTGATCCAGCAATCCCATTACCAGGTATATATCCTAAAGAAGTGAGATGGGGGCGGCATAGGTGTCTGAGGAGAAGGCAGCATTTGGCCAAAAACAAAGTCCAGAAGTCAGGAAAGAAGGACAAATAGAAACAGAAACCCCAGGGAAGAAGTGGGAAGAGTACTGTTACACTGAGGGGTTTACAAATGATATCACAAAACAAAATGTGTATAAATTGTTAAATGGAAAACTAATTTGCTCATTAAAATTTCAGCTAAGCCACATTAAAATGTTCCAAGAAAAAAAAAAAAAAGAGGTAAATTAACCAGTATAGTTGATAAACAGTGACTGACATAAAGAAAGCAGGAAAACTTCCAAATACCTTTTGTTTTACACATATGAAGCATTATTTATACACATCATTTGGTAGCTGTTCATGATAAAAAACCAATCGTTCTCACTGGTGGAAACTACAACTGGGCTTTCCAAATTAAACTAAGACTGCTAGCTTCAGAGGGAGGGAATGTTAATTTAACACTGCTTCTAACAAGCAAAGGTAAGGTGATCTGTATGTCATCCAAGCTTCAAATAGATCATAAATTTGTATTTGATTGTATATAATAACTGCTCCTCTAAAATCAACCAGTCTGGAACAATCATCACCACAGAAACATGCAATTCAATTAGAATATCCTCATAAAAGGAAAATAAAACTAGTAAAAATATGTTATATTGGCAGGATCTCCTTAACAAAAATGCTTTCCTTTTCCCTGAGGAACATACCTTAAATGTAGGGGACAAATAATTCTTTAAAAACCAGAATTTCACAGGGGTCTTGGTGTTCTTCAGTACCGATAACATCATTATACTGTCAAATAAAGACAAATTATGATAATCTTCCAATGCTTTTTAACCTCAACAATACCAAGAAGAGTCAATCAAGAGATTGCTAAATGTTCTTCCCAGCAGTGCTAACTAATGGCTCAAATAGAGAGAGAACCATAGTAATGGAAAATTGCACTTATTTGTATTTATAAAGTTATCACTTGGAGTGGGAAGATGTGTTTCCAACCCATAAAAACATGCCTAACCCAAACCCACCACCATCAAGTCAATTCTGACCTGTAGGAACCCTGTAGGACAGAACAGAACTGCCTCATAAGGCTTCCAAGGCTGTAAATCTTTACAGAAGCAGTCTCATCTTTCTCCTATGGAGCAATTACCACCAACCTTTTGGTTAGCAGTTCAATGCTTTAAGCACAATGACACAAAAGCTGCTTAAAAACACCTAATAGAGGCAAATTCATTTTATGCTATGCTTCATGCACTAATACACTAGTTGTGGGACAAATGAAAAATGGGGTCAGGGAATGGAAAACAGTTACAGGCTCAGGATTTCATAATTAGAAACAAAAACAAAATTTGAGTCAAGGAATTAAATTAAATTCAGCTGCTACCAATACTTGATGATTATTATTTTAGAGCAGGTATTATCTACTAGAAAAAGAAGGGTTCAAAATGAGTGCAGTATCATTTTGATTATTTTCTGTAACATATTTGTAGGGAAAGGTTACAAGTTAAAAGCACTCTGGCAGTTAGGAAAGTGACTTTCACTGAGTCGTTCTGATCACTGATGGTAAAATAACTCCTGAATGCTATTATTGTGCCAACTAGCCAGGGCCTATGGCCTATCCTAGCTCTCGCATCTGACCCCCAGCAAATTTCTCACTCATTGGGCCACAGTTTCATTATGTATAAAACAGAGGTTAGCTCTTAAACTCCATGAATCTCTGGAAGGCAGTGAAGGGTTTCATGGCCTGGTTTCATTTTTATTTTCTATGCCAATCTCCTGATTTTTATTTTAAATAATGCTACATGGCCAAGCAAACACCATGATTTCTAATGTGTTTATAGTCTTGTACTATCCACAAAGACTGTTAAAACCAATATGATTACACATGGCAATCTAGTCACATTCCTCAGAGTGATTTAAAATATGGAATTATGAAGGGTAGAATCCCACAGAATTTCTAAATAAGGCTGTGACAAATTCATTCACATATACAGAAATAATCAATAAGACTAACCGAAGAAATCTTTCATACAAATGACCAGATGCAACGGAGAAAATATTAATTATGTCATCTTTATCTTGTTTCACTTCCTCTGTCTTATGTCCTCCAGAAAAGCCCCTGTAATAATAAAAGGTGAAAACAAGAACACTTGAAATACTGGTACAGACATTGTTGTTGTTGTTATGTGCCGTCGAGTCGGACCCGAATCATAGCGACCCCTCCTTGGGTTTCTAAGGCAGTATCACTACGGAAGTAGATTGCCCAACCTTCCTTCCGAGGAGTGGCTGGTTAGGTTTGAACTGCCAGCCTTCTGGTTAGGTGTCAAGTGCCTTAGTCACTATGCTACCAGAGCTCCTGGTACAGACATGCAGCCCTTTAAAAGCAGAGGCAAAGAAATGCTGAATTGCCACTCACACGCTGAGAGAGAGTAAAAGGTCAACAGAAAACCACCCTACAGGAGAACAAGATATTATAGCACTGCTTTGCTTTAGGAATAGAGATTTACCACAGCCCATCCTGTAGAATGCAGTTTGTACGATGGAAATAAACTGAGTAATTACCAATCAGTATTCCAAAGAGCTGGTACAACCTAACTGTGGTGGTTAAATTTGTGTGTCAATTTGGCTGGGCCTAGTTGACTGGCTGGGCAGCTGAATGTAGTTATTCCCCACGGTGAGACTGGTAATTAACTTAATGGTGGAATCTATTAGAGCAGCTGGGTATATGGTCTGCTTCCCATATGTAAGAAACAGCTTTGGAAATGGTCTCTAGCTTATGGGATACTTGAACCCTGCATGTAGCTGTGTCGTTGTTCAGCAGCCTGCCATGCTCTGCCAGGCTTGGAACTTTCAATGGATTCGAATTAATGGCCTACCGTGTGGTTTGGTAACATCAGGACTGTGCCTTATTACTGGTCAACCTTGGGCTTGTCAGCAGCCAGCAGCTGTCTGAGTGAAGAAAAGCCTCTAGCTTTAGTGAGCCAGAAGCAGGAGGCAGATCTGAATGAAGCCCAAGGTTGAGGGACTTTCACCCATCCCCTAGAGCCTGGCACTTTGAACTCGGACTTAAAGCCTCCAAACAGTAAGAGAATAAACTCCTGTTTGTTCAAACCATCCCATTTGTGGTATATTCTTGTCAGAGCGGCACTAGGTAACCAGAACACTAACTAATGTCAAAAACTATGGAAGAGATGTAACTTCACCATGAGGAGAGACAGTCAAGTGGAAAATGTTCCTCTAAATATAAAATGCAAGATTTGACTGCACAAAGAATCTGAAAGGCCAGGAAAAGATCACTGTACTTAAAAGATACAGTCTCACTTTTGCCTTAAAAACACTACTTTTCATAATGTCCATTTACCATTTGAAGGAATCCCAAAATCCAGATTCATTCTCATTTTTAGTTCCATCACTCAGCAAGTCTTCATTCACCTTGTCTGCCTTCTTCTGAACCTGCAATAATATGTGATGAATCTTAGTATGTCTAATAGGCATAAAATTGATTTTCACTGGATGTGCTCTGTGAATACTGTCAGCAATGGTGAATAAAGCAATTACCAATTAATTCTTCCATGAGCAGGTACAACCCAGCCCAGTTTCTAGTTCAACTTCATCATACAACTGGCACTAGAACCTTAAGTGAGGATACAGCAACCTCTTTTAATTAAACAAAAACTAATTCCAGTTTGCAACATAGGCAAAGACTATTTGGTAGTAATATGGTGTGAGTAAACTACAACAGTGTAGGTAATATGGTCTGAGTGTAAACAGAAATATAATTCACCATGCTAACAGTTGTTCTAGGGAAAGAATGCAGCCTTCATTGGCTCAACTGGCAGGCAGTCATCATGTCACCTCTTTTTTTCAGGCTTACTAGTAAAAAGATGGGTTGAATATTCCCTATGGCAAATGACCATTCTTCTATTCAAGCACATGTGAGGTCTGTTTTAGATTTTACAGGGTATAAATAAACAAAAAACCAGTCACTCCGTTTGAGTCGACTCTGACTCATAGCAAACCCCATCGGGTTTCCAAAGCTCTAAATCTTTATGGAGGCAGATTGTCTCATCTTTCTTCACAGAGAGGCTGGTGGGTTTGAACTACCGACTCTTTGCTAAGCAGCCAAATGCCTTAACCACGATACCACTAGAGCTACTTATAGTGTATTGTTGTTTTTTTGTTATATGCCGTCGAGTCAGACCTGACTCACAGCGACCCCTCCTTGGGTTTCCGAGGCAGTATCACTATGAAAGTGGATTGCCCCATCTTCCTTCCAAGGAGTGGCTGGTGGGTTTGAACCGCCAGCCTTCTGGTTAGCAGCCTTAGGCACTATGCTACCAGAACTCCCCTTACAATGTATAATGACAGTTTATTCCATAATACCTTTCCACTTAAATTTAAGGCTTTAATTACTTCAAAATTTTATAGAGTAGGAGTGAGAAGAGATGAAATAGGTCGATAATTTTGTAATTATTGTGACTACGATTTTGTAATTATTGTTAAAATTTTCATTAACATTTGTACAATTTTTGAGAATAAAATCAATAATTATGTGAATTATGGCTATATAAATGACACAGGACCTACAAGAACATTTTAGATAAATGGGAGTTTTACTGCTTACTGAGATTACCCAAAAGTTAAAATATCTCAGTTTAAGAAAGTGTCAAACTCATATTTACAAAATAAAAATAAAAAACCAAATTAACTGCCATTGAGTCAATTCTGACACACAGTGACCCCCACTGGGTTTCCAAAGCTGTAAATCTTTATGGAAGTAGATAGCCCCCATCATCCTTCCGCAGAGTGGCTGATGGGTTTGAACTGTCAAACTTCTGGTTTGCAGTCAAATGCCTCAGGCACTGTGCCACTGGAGCACCTTATATTTACAAAAGATATTTCATATTAAAGCAGCATTCCTATAAATGCTATAGTAAAATTCCAAAGCAAAATTGAAAGCTTGGGGTCATTTCAAGATACATATTTTCACATAACAGCTACCAAATACCAGAATATAGCTACTTTTCATAAATTATTAAACAGTGGTGCCCTTAGCATGCCAAACTCACCTTCACTTTAATAATTTTGCTCTTGAAGTTGTTGAGGACAACAACAACTTCATCAGCATCAGGAGGAGAATCTGTACCATCATGGCTTAGAGAGAAAAAAAAAGTAAGAGAAAGTAATGTAGATGCTATAAAATGCACTCTCAAAATGCAGCTAATGGTCTGAGAACAATCCTCCATATTCATTTACCATCTTTATCATTCAGAGATTTTCAGAACATATTATTTTCTCTCAACCAGGGAAGCCCCTTCAAACTGCACAGTTGTTGTTGTTGTTAGGTGCCATCAAGTTGGCTATAATTCATAGTGATCCTACATACAACAACAAAACACTGCCCAATCCTGCGCCATTCTCACAATCCTCGCTATGCCTGAGTCCATCATGTGCCAATCCATCTTGCCGAGGGTCCCTTTTTTTCTTGACCCTCTACTTTACCAACAATGATATCCTTCTCTAAGAAATGGTCCCTCTGAGAACATGACCAAAGTAGGTGACATGAAGTCTGGCCATTCTCGCTTCTAAGAAGAATTCTGCCTGTACTTCTTCCAGGACAGATTTGTTTGTTCTTCTGGCAGTCAATGGTGTTTTCAGTATTCTTCACCAGCACCACAATTCAAAGGCATCAAACTCTTCTACAATCTTCCTTATACACTGTCCAGTTTTCACAAACATATGAGGCAACTGAAAATACTACCATGATTGAGTTAGGTGCACCTTAGTCTTCAAAGAGATATCTTTGCTTCTTAATACTTAAAAAAGGTCTTTTGCATCAGATTTTCCCAGTGAAGTATGACATCTGATTTCTTAAAGTCTCCCACTATAACTGTGGAGTCATCTATTTGCCTTTTCAACTCTTTTAAAATCTGATTTATGTATTTTGGGACTCTTTCATTAGGTACATTGATATTTATTATGGTTACATCTTCTTGTTCAATTGATCCTTTAATCATTATATAATGTTCTTCCTTGTCTCATATGGTGGTATTCGTCTTAAAGTCTATTTGACCAGAAATTAATATTGTCACTCCTGCTCTTTTATGGTTGCCATTTGCTTGACAGATCTTTTTCCAACCTTTGATTTTTAGTCTATTTTTGTCTTTGTCTCTAAAGTGTGTCTCTTGTAGACAGCATATTGATGGGTTATGTTTTCTTATCCAGTCTGCAAGTCTCATCTCTTGAGTGGCGTGTTTAATCCATTAAAATTCAGTGTAATTATCAGCAAGTATGAATTGGTTGTCATTTTGTTATGTGTTTTTTTCATGGTGTTCCTGGTTTCTGTTTTCCATATAGTTTTCTATACTGGGCTTTTTTTTATGAATCATGTTATCATCTTTTTTGTTGCTATTATTTTACTATTTGCTAAATATTTGTGCTTGTCCTCTTTTTTCTTGTGAGGTTCTATTTTTCTAAGTGAAGGTTTACCATTTTTCATTGTGGGTACCCTGTGATTTATAATTTTCTCCCCAAGTTTAGAACCGTCCATTCTATCTTGCAACTCTCTTGACTTCCTCACCATTTAGAAGCTCTGTAACTACACAGTATTTTCCCACTTTTTAGTTTGTAGTTGTCCTCTTTTGCCAGTTGATGTCTCTGGTTCCCTGTTTACAATCTTGTAAACTTATTTTACTTTGGATATGTCCATAGCTGTGGTTTCCGGGTCATGGCATCTTGTGTTATTAATGCTCGGTTGTTGTTTGCTATTATTGGTTCTCTGTTCAAAGGACATCCTTTAGTATCTCTTGTAGAGGTGGTATGGATTTAACAAATTCTCTTAATTTCTGCTTATCTGGAAATCTCCTAATTTCACCATCATATTTGTGGGACAATTTTACCAGGTATATAATTCTTGGTTGGAAATTTTTCACCTTCAGGGTTTTACTATCCCATTGACTTCTCACTTGCATGGTTTCTACTGAGAAATCAGAGCTTATACTTATTGGCTGTCCTTTGTAAGTAACTTTTCATTTTTCCCTTGCTGCTTTCAGGATTTTTTCTTTCTCATTGGTTTTGATTAATTTGATGATGATATATCTTGGTGATAGTCTTTTAGGGTCTCTCCTGTTTGGAGTTTGTTGGACTTCCTGAATGGAAATATTCTCATCTTTTATCATATTGGGGAAGTTCTCCTCTAAAAAATCTTGGATAATTTTCCCAGTGGTTTTATTTTTCTCTTCCTGTTTGGGAATTCCAAAGACACATAGGTTATTCCTTTGATGGTATTCCACATGATGAACCTTAGGCTTTCTTCATTTTGTTTTGATCTTTTTTCTGACTGATCGCTCTCCAAAGAAGTATTTAGGTATTTGTCTTCAATCTTTTTAATTCTGTTTTCCATTGATTCAATTCTACTCCTTTGTCCTTTCAACGTGTTATCTATTTCTGAAAACTCAGTATTAATCTGTATTTCTATCTGTAGATTTTGATCATTTCTAATTTCTCATTTATCTTGTCATTTTCTTCTTGTATTTTCTTCCAAAATTGTTCTAGGGTTTTGTCTGTGCTTTCTTTAATTTTGTCAGTGTTTTCCTTGATCAGTCTCTCAATCCTTTGAAGGTACCTAAATATGTTGTTGTTATGTGTCATCGAGTCGGACCCGACTCATAGCAACCCCTCCTTGGGTTTCTGAGGCAGTATCACTACAGAAGTAGATTGTCCAACCTTCCTTCTGAGGAGTGGCTGGTGGGTTTGAACCTCCAGCCTTCTGGTTAGCAGTCCAGTGCATTAGCCACTATGCTACCATAGCTCCTGTAATTCTTTTGAATTCCTTATCAAAGAGTTCCAATGCTGCTTCTTCCTCAGGGATGTGTTCTGGGTCTGTATCCTGCTCCCTTGTTTCTACCACTTTATCTTGCTTCTTTGTGTGGACTGTGATGGTCTATTGTTTTGGGGACATTGTGACATTGTTGTATTTAGATCTCTGTTAACTGCTTGTGAAGAGCAGCTAAGGGTGAGTCAGGCTCTTCTTGGTGGTCGTTTATCATTGTCCATTTGGTGCAGAACAAAGTAGTGGCTCTCAATAAGTAAAGTTGCAGGAGGTGTGGGTTTACTTGTGTGTCGTATGGGAGCTGTTGCTGTTTCCACTCAGACAGAAGGTTGGGCAAAAATAACAATTGAATAACCATAAACAAGTAAAAGCAAGTGGACAAAAATCACACCGTGTAATCAAACAGAAACAATAAACAAAAAGAAAAAAAAAAAAACCCTGCAATATCTGTGTAGAGGGCAATAAGAGAAAAAAGTAGAGTAGGAGAATAATGAAGAAAAAATACAGGAGAAAATGCAAAAAGAAAAACAAGGAATGGGGTTAACCACAAGAAAGAAAAAAATTGGAACCAGGAACAGGGAGCAGAGAAAAAGCTGAAATCTAGGACCTGGGAAGGGAAGAATAAAGAATAATAACAAAAAGGACAAAAATATTATAATAATAATTTTAAAACAGACAAAAACAAACTAAAAAAAAAAAAAAAAAAATCTGGCAGGGCTGGGCAAAGCATCCAGGCTCCATCCAAGCACACAGACTGAGATGGAAACCCTGCCAGCCCAGAACGTGGGTGAGAGTGAGGGATAGCTATACCTCCATTCACCAAGAGGCTTTGGGATGTAAGAGTAATATAGGGAATATTGCACCTTTCCAGTCATTGGGGTCTGGAATGTCCTTGCAGTCCCAGCAAGTGTAGCCTACTCTTAAGTCCCTGGCATCTGGGAGAACACTGTTGCTTTAAATATTCAAAATGGTCAAACTGCTTGTGAACATTCAAAATGGCTGTGCCCTCTGACAGGCAAAAGTCCACAGCTTCGCCCACCTTCTTCGCTGCTTCCCCTTTTATTCACCAGCCACCAGAGCAGTCCTCTGTGCAATCCCTGGCTAGCAAGGTTTATTTTCAGGTTAATGCTTAGGTCCTAACACCATTCAGGAGCTCTGGTGGTATAGTGCCTAAGGCATTTGACTGCTAACCAGAAGGTTGGTGGTTCAAACCCACCAGCCACTCCTCGGAGGGAAGGTTGGGCAATATACTTCCGTAGTGATACAGCCTTGGAAACCCAAAGAGGGGTAGCTATGAGTCAGATCCAACTGGACAGCAGTGAGTTTTTTTACCACCACTTGGAAATATCCAAGCTCTCTGTGCCGTCAGGATCACTGCCAGACCACAGCTCTAGATGTCTCCTTTTCTGGTTTTCATGCAAATTCTTCTACTAGTTGCCTTTTATTCCACTTCTTTATCCTTCCCTTCAAAGCGCAGAGCTCCAGGATTACCTTCTGTATCTCTGTTAATTGGTTCCCCTTTTCTTTGTTGAAGAGGGTCTGTGTAGGCTTTCTGCCTATTCCACCACCTTACCAGAACTCCTCAACATCTCATTTTTTGACTGCTGCTTTCATGGGTACTGATTATGGATCCATGTAAAATGAAATCCCTGGCAACTTTAATCTTTTCTCCATTATTGTGATGGTGCTTACTGGTATACTTGTAAGGATTTTCTTTATGAAATCCATACTGAAATTTGTAGCCTTTGATCTTCATCAGTAAGTTCTTCAAGTCATTTTCACTTTCAGCATGCAAGGTTGTGTCATCTGCATATCACAAGCTGTTAATGAGTCTTCATCCAATCCTGATGATGTGTTCTTCTTCATATAGTTCCGCCTTTCAAATTATTTGCTCAGCAGACAAAATGAATGACTATGGTGAAAGGATACAACCCTGATGCACACTCTTCCTGATTTTAAACTTCACAGGATCCCTTTGTTCTGCTTAAAAGACAGACTCTTGGTCTATGCACAGGTTCGTCATGACCACAATTAATGCTCTGGAATTCTCATTCTTCGTAACGTCATCCATAATTTGCTATGATCCACACAGTCAATAACAGAAAAGTACACACCTTTCTGGTATTTTTTTCTTTCAGCCAAGATCCATCTGCCATCAACAACATTCCAAAGTCCTGTAGTTCCAAAGTTGCACAGCAGCACTTGTCAAAATCTCTATCCTTACACATGATATGGGCCCATTAGCCACAGCTCAAACTTCTCCATGAGTCTACCTTTAAATTGGATCACAAGGAGAGGCAGGCTCCCAGGGGATGGCAAGTGCCAAATGTACTCTGTAAACTATTTACATTCATTAGTCTAAAGCCTTACACAGAATTCAGCTCAAATAAAGGAAGTCCAGAGGAGGGTATGTCACTCTAAATCACCCCTATAAATGCATCACTTTTTACTCTCTAATTGGCAAGCATCGAAATCTGGCTCTGTTTCACCTTTTGTAAAGAAACTCTTCTGTCCTGTTCTTTGGAGGCACACAAACAGTCAAATCTAGGCCCTGAATTCAATCTGATGCCTATACTATGCAGGAAGAACTATACTATAATGGTCCCCTTGTAGGCAGACAGGGCAGAGAAGAAAACATAAAATAAAATTATTTCCCTATCAATCAAACTATAATGTCTAAAATTTTCAGTCACTAGATTTCAAGGTGTTCATTGCAGAAAGCCTAGACAACAATATGAACTCACTGGATTAGGTAGCTGCCATCCCCAGACAGCAGGACTCTAAAGCAACAATAAAATTTTGACAAGGGAGAAATGCTAGCATGATATATTTCAGACATGGGGACTAATCACATGGGGAAGTTCAGGAAGAAGCAGCCCTGCAAAGCTAGTAACAGCAGAGGGTACCACACTCCTAAGGGAGGGAGAAGAGTGGCTAGGAAAGTAGGGAAAGGCAGGGAGTAGCAATTTGGAAGAACAACAGATAAACTTCTCATGACAGACTCAACTTTTGTAAACCCTATTTGGGGAAAACACTGGAAGAGAAACAACACTACTATTTAAAATGAAGATATTATAATATAAAATTCTACTACTTCCTCATAAGAAACACCTAGCTCCACAATGCTTCACTTTTGTGTCAGGTAAGATACTATAGAGCTAAGATGAGGATACCAGAGGATTTTTTAAATAAACTCTAATAAAAACCTTTCCCTCAATAAATTGATACGAAGTCTTTTCACATAGCTTAAAACTAATTTACATTGAGATAAACAGAATTTAGATTACACTTTTTAAAAACCCAAACCCACTGCCACTGAATCAATTCCAACTCACAGCAACCCTTTAGAAGAGAGCAGAAGTGTCCCATAAAGTTTCCAAAGCTGTCAATCTTTATGGAAGCATATTGCCTCATCTTTCTCCTGTGGAGTGGCTGGTACATTCAAACTATCACCATTTTGGTCAGCACCCCAATGCTTTAACCACAGCACCACCAGAGTTCCATACACTTTTTAAAAAAGCAGTATAATTTTTCTTAATCAATGCTTACTTATAGTAATCAGTAGGATAAGGAGCTCTGGTGGCATAGTGCCTAAGGCATTTGACTGCTAACCCGAAGGTTGGTGGTTCAAACCCACCAGCCACTCTGTGGAAGGAAGACTGGGGAACCTACTTCCATAAAGATGTACTGCCTCAGAAACCCAAAGGGGGTAGGCTATGAGTTGGAATCAACTCTATGGCAGCAAATTAATCAGTACAATAGAATGTTTACAGACCACAACAGAGTAGTTATAATACCAAAAAATTATGTCTAAAGCTTGTATGTACTGTGTATTTGTAAATCACTCATGGTCTAGAAATAAAGTATCTGGGTTGAAAAGTTTGACTATTTATTTCTTTTATCCATTTGTCAAATCAGGGCTTTGAACTAATTGAAACCAGTTCAGTCATGGCCAATACAATGAAACCATAATAGACTTCCATTTAGTAAAGTGTGGATGTACCAGAACACCAAGTGGAATGGGGAAAATTAACAGGCTAAGGCTGTGGAATGTGAAACTCAAAAGAGGTATAGAGAGCCGTTTTAGGAACCTGATGCAGGAGACTGGATTTTTGCCAGGACTGTAAAGAATGACACACATTCAAAGCAGCATGGTTGGTTGCCACTTTTCAGCCAGGCACCACCGTTTCCAACTCTGGTATTCAAGATATCTGGTCGCTATGCAATGTGCAAGCTGCCCTTGTTTTCTAAAAGGGCAATTAAGTTTCTATCAGGGCACTGGTCTGTAATTTTTCCCATTCCGGTTATTATTCTGGTATACCCATGTTTTATAAATGTGGGTCAATTCTAGTTCCATTTTGTCAGCCATAACTGAACCAGGAAGAACTGGTACAAGCTCTGTTTCAAATGACTCAATTTCTTACCTGTTATGGTTTCTATCACAGTGATAGTAGATGTGATTCTGGGATACTGGCCATAGAAAGGAATCAACGCAGAGTGAAACCTGACTGTACTAATTAGTATTTCTATATATTAATGTTGACAATTCTTCCAGATTTAATTTCCTAGAAAACACTGTTTTATCAAACATCCAATTGTAAATTAAATTCTTATTATGTGGCTAATTGCCAGAACAGTATTCAATTACAGCTGATTCACAATTCAAAACGTTCCCAAAAAATGTACCTACATCACATAGTCCTACCTGTAGATTCTATAAATGTCTTCAGAGCGCCCCTTCCTGAGTCTTAGAATCCAAGCTCCTGGGTTGGCTTTTAATTGAAAGTAGCCCTAGGACAAAACGAAAAGCTAAAGTTTTTATCTTTTTGAAACATCAAAATGTTGTTTGTGAGGGACAGCTACTTACTATCTGAAAGATCAGTCATATATATTTTAAATAAAGTAATTCGCAAACTAGTGCTACTCTTAATAAACAAAACAAAACAAAACAAAACAAAAAAAAACCCACTAATTAGAAATGCTACCAAAATACAAGCCAGTCAAGCATAGAAGTCTGCACTACAGCTGTGCTTCAGTGACACCTGTCTCCAAGTAAATGAAAAAGGCTATTTTACTTCATGACAAACCCATATTCAAGGGTCAGTTTGGCCAGCATGGTTTTTGTTAGACTCACACATAACTCCAATCTACTATACAAATTTAACTGAACTAATGATTTGACTGCTAACCAGAAGGCTGGCGGTTCAAACCCACCAGCCACTCCTTGGAAGAAAGGATGGGCAATCTACACAAGGAGTCAGATCTGACTCCACAGCAGTGAGTTGGTTTTGGTTTGGTTAATTATGTTATGTTGTTGTTGTTGTTATATGCCGTTGAGTGGAGTCTGACCAAGTCTGACGACCCATAGTGACCCCTCCTTGTGTTTCTGAGGCAGTATCACTACGGAGCTCTGGTAGCACAGTGGCTAAGACACTTGCCTGCTAACCAGACGGCTGGCGGTTCAAACCCCCTCAGAAGGAAGGTTGGGCAATCCTACTTCCGTAGTGATACTGCCTCGGAAACCCAAGGAGGGGTCGCTATGAGTTGGGTTTGACTCATAACAACATAACAACAACAACAACAACAATCACTACGGAAGTAGATTGCCCCATCTTCCTTCCCAGGAGTGGCTGGTAGGTCTGAACCACCAGCTTTCTGATAAGCAGTCAAGTGCCTTAGGCACCATGCTACCAGAGCTCCCTAGTGACCAAATTTAGTCAATCATGAATTTTAACCTCATTCTGTGGTTTTGAATCACAATCACACTATCACAGAGTGCACCACCCAAATTAATATGAGTATAATATTAACATGAATTGCTGATTATTTACCAGATTAGCCATAACAATGGTATCAACAATCACTGGGTTGGCTGAAGTTCCTAAGGTAAACTGCAGTCCCCTTGGGGGTTGGCCTGTGGTGATGTCATAGCAATGACCTTCTAGTAATAGGTACTCCAGCTCATATTCAGCAGTCACTATGCTATCTACCTGCAAAATAAAAATTGAATCACTAAAAGACTACTCAGTAACAAAAAGAAACAACTATTGATACACAGCAACATGGATGAATAGCAAATGTATTCTAAGCAAAAAAGGCCAAGACACAAAGACCTACATACTGTTTGATCACATTGCTAAGAAATTTTAGAAAAGGCAAAAACTACAATGACACAAAAAGTAGATTAGTTACTGCCTGGGGAAAGGTTAGGGGTAGAAGATTACCTGCAAAGGGGCACAAGAGAAATTTTTGGGATGATGGAAATGCTTTATATCTTGATTCTTGTGGTGGTTATCTAACAGTATACAATTATAAAAACTCATTGAATTATACATTTAAAATTGGTAGATTTTATTGCATGTGTAATATACTTCAAAAAAAGCTGATTTAAAACATTATGCTGAGCAAAGAAGGCAGATACAAAGTAGTTCACGCTGTACGATTTCACTTACATAACTGCAGAAGAGAAAATCACCACAGTAACATAAAGCAGTTCAACTGATTATCAGAGGCCAAGGATTAAGAGCAGGCAGCTGGTACAAGAAAATTGACGGGGATGAAGGAAATGTTCTATATCTTGATTTTGATGGTAGTTACGTGGCTATATAAATCTGTTAAGACTTAACCAAATTAAAATGGCTGCATTTTATTATATGTAAACTATACCTCAATAACAGGAGCTCTGGTAGCATAGTGCCTAAGGCACTTGACTGCTAACCAGAAGGCTGGCGGTTCAAATCCACCAGCCACTCCGCAGAAGGAAGGTTGGGCAATCTGCTTCCATAGTGATACTGCCTCGGCAACCCAAGGAGGGGCTGCTATCAGTTGGGTCTGACTCTACAGCACATAACAACAACAACAACATACCTCAATAAGGTTGATTACAACTAAATCATTTGATAATTCCTGAATGAATGTGTTATTTATGTAATTCCTGCTTCTAAATTTACTCTCAAGAATGCTGTAAAGCTTAATAAGATGGATTGCTGGGTTCTGTCTATAAGTTAAGCAACAGATAAATTTACTGAGGACAAAGTCATATAAGACCTCTCTTCATTCCAAGATTTATACATAAGAAGAAGTAACATAAAAATGCAGCAGTAATGTTCAATACAAGCAAAGGAAAACAGTATCATTTTCCAAGTTTAGTTCAAAAGCATTATAGTGTAATAGGTACCATGCTAAAAATAATGGTAGCAGCTTTCATTTGAGTATTACATTCCAAACTTTTTCATTTACCTAAACTACAACACTACAAGGAAGATATTTAGTAGAAGAAGAAACTGAGGCTGGGCTGTGGTAAGTAGCTTAGATATCCTAGAGCTAGGATTTGAATAATTTCCATGAACAAGAACAAGTTAAGTATAAGTTATGTTTCATGTTTAATGAGTTAGTTTAAGGTACAAAGTTATGGTAGACAATAAGGGTAGGAAAGTCAATTAAAGATGAAACATGGAGTCATGAATCCCAAATAAGTCAGCTCATGGCTCTGAAGGCACTGAGAAGTCACAAAGTCTGTCAGCATGGAGAGACATGTGAAAAAAAAACAAACAGTATTTCACACTGATTTGTCTGGCACTGGTTTACAGACTGGTTATAAGAAAGAAAGGAGAAAGAAATAAAGGGAATGGTAAGGAGGTCATTCCAAAAGTACAGATGGGAGGGTAAGACTCTAATCTAACAAGGTGGTATTGGAAATGGGAAATAAGATAAAATAAAACTCTAAAAGAATGAATAGATGTAAAGACTAAAAATAAAAGATTAATTTTAGTATTCAGAGTAGCAGAAAAGAGAATTCTATAGAAATAAAGTTACATGGCAACAGAGAAACAATGAGAAAAAAATGCAAATTCATTTTGGCCTGGGAAGAGTTAACATGGTGGACTAGGCAGAAATGCTATTCAGACCTTCTGTAACGAAGTCCTGTGAAACCAAGTAAAATAGATACAGATGATAATCCTGGAATCCTGAGCTTGCAAAGAACAGATGAAGAAGGAGATCAAATACTGACTGGAAGAGGAAACTGAACCAAAACAATGAGCAAATGGTATACTGCCAGCTGGCCCAGCACAGCATGGTAATTTTGAATTGCTGCAAGCAATGTTCCAATTGAGGCAGGAACCAAATAATCAGTTCTGCTTGTCCAGGACTGCACCAGTGCTCAGAGGTGTGACCTCCCCACTAACTCCTTCACACATATTCCCAGTGACCAGAATCGTGGCCACCCCCAGCCACACCATCCAGTCTCTTCCATCTGGCAGTCGTTGACATACTCCCTCACCCATCCTTGTCCTGTGCTGTAGTTCACCTGACCCACCATCTATCCCAAGCCCCTGTGGCCCCTCCATTCTACATGAGGTATGCGATCATGGAACAAGCAAGACACACCAACCATCTCTGAGGTCAGCAAGGTGTATTTGCAAGATAAACAACCACTCTCCTCATGTTTGGGGAAGTACCCTCTCAGCCTCTGTGGTCAGCAATGTGCTCCACTGCACAGCAGGTGTCACATTCCTATGCTCTGGGCACCATACCCTATGGACTGGGCACCGCACTTCTGCCAACTGTGCACAGTGCCTACCTGCCATTTTGCAAGCACTGGCACACACCTCCATGGATCGGGTGCCGCACTCTTGTCATGGGCATTGTTGGTGGCATACACTTGCGCTTGCTGCTGCTTCCTTTCTCCGTGCTCCCTCTTCTTTGATGCTTTTATTTCCCCCACCTGGAGGGAGTCAGCAACTGCATGTTTCACACTACACAGCCACACCTGCCATACCTGCCACCCTACTCACTGGGTGAGTGCCACCACCTGCTTCTGTACCTCTGGACTGGTGACAGATGGGGGCCAACACTAGCTCACTTGTCCTCTAGTGCTATACATGAATGGTGAACAGAGACCTGAAGGCACATTCTTATACACTACCACATCTGCTAGGAGAAAGGTGGTGAGTACATAAGTGCTGCCAAACTAGTAATCAGAGTAGCACACATGCCAAGCACACCTAGATATATAAAAACAAAGTTAAAAACTTGTGAGAAACACATTAACATACACTCATTAAATAAATATAACAACAACACAATGTCTCAGAGAAAACAAAGTAGACACAAAGAAACAAGACAAGGTCGCAAAAAACAGAGTTGACAAACTTATGAAAACTTCTTAGAAATAACCAAACACCTTTCGGGAATAAGTCACTTCTCCACCTACTGGCCAACAATAAATCACCACCAAGAAGATGCTGAACCACACTTATTCACAAACAGTTAAGAGATCTGCGCAGCCACTCTCATTCTCTATCACAACCACCAAATGACAGGTAGTAAGTACATAATTGCTGCCAACTGGCGAACAGAGGAACACAGAATCCTGCTTACGCAGATAAATAAATAAAAAAAAAAAAATCTTGGACAAATGACTCCAATATACAATCACCAATTAAACATAAATACAACAATGTTACAATGTCTCTGAGACAACAGATGATCACAGACCACAAAAAGAAGCAAGATAAACCGGTAGAAATAAGGGAGCAGGATACAGATCCAGAACACAACCCTGAGAAAGAAGTAGCGTAAGAACTCCTTCATAAAGAATTCAAAAGAATTACATTTAGGTATCTTCAAAGGATTGAGGGACAGATCAAGGAAAACACTGAAAAAATTAAGGAAGACAGGCAAAACCCGAGAACAATTTTGGAATACAAGAAAAAATTGACAAAATAAATGAAAATTTGGAAATGATACAAAATCTAGAGACAGAAATCCAGAAGATCAATACAAAATTATCAGAAATAGGTAACACAATAAAAGAACAAAGGAGTAGAATTGAATGAATGGAAGACAGAATTAAAATAATTGAAGACAAATACCTGAATACTTCTTTGAAAAGGGATCAGTCAGAAAAAAGATCAAAACAAAAAGAAGAAAGCCTAACATTCATGTGGGATACCATGAAAAGGAATAACCTACATGTAACTGAAATTCCAGAATAGGAGAAGAAAAATAAAACCAATGAGAAAATTGTCCAATTTTGTTGAAAGAGAACTTCCCTGATATGATGACTCACTGCCATTGAGTCAGATCCGACTGATAGCGGCCCCTCCTTGCATTTTTGAGGTGGTGTCTCTACAGAAGCAATTTGCACAACCATGATATGATGAAAGATGAGAAGATATCCATTCAGGAAGTCCAACGAACCCCAAACAGGATAGACCCCAAAAGAAAATCACCAAGATATATCATCATCAAAGTTATCAAAAACAAAGACAAAGAAAGAATACTGAAAGCACAGGAAAAATGAAGTTACCTCCAAAGGGCAACCAATAAAGACCAAACTCTGATTTCTCAGCAGAAACCATGCAGGCGAGAAGGCAATGGAATATAAAACCATGAAAGAGAAAAATTTCCAACTAAGAATTAAATACCCAGCAAAACTGTCCCTCAAATATGATGGTGAAATCTGAAGATTTCCAGATAAGCAGACATTAAGGGAATTTGTTACAACCAGACCAAACTTACAAGAGATACTAAAGGGAATCCTATGAACAGAGAACCAGTAACAGCAAACAACAACTGAGCATTAATACACAAGATGATATAACCCAGAAATCAACACAGCTATGGAAGTATCCAAAACAAAATAAGCTTACAAAATTGTAAACAGCTAACCAGAGACATCAGTTGGCAAATGAAGATAATTACAAATGAAAAAGAGGGTAAATACTATGTAGTTACAGAACTTAAGGGAATTTGTTACAACCAGACCAAACTTACAAGAGATACTAAAGGGAATCCTTTGAACAGAGAACCAGTAACAACAAACAACAACTGACCATTAATACACAAGATGATATAACCCAGAAATCAACACAGCTATGGAAGTATCCAAAACAAAATAAGCTTACAGAATTGTAAACAGGGAACCAGAGACATCAGTTGGCAAATGAAGATAATTACAAACGAAAAAGAGGGTAAATACTATGTA